AGATATTAGGAAGGGACATATCAGAGAGGGAACAGCATGTGTAGAGGCCCAGAGGAGTGAAGCAGCCCCAAGTGTCAGGGCACTGTAATCTGTCCCTTATGGCTAGAGTGTGATAACAACGGGGTGGTGAGGAGAAGATGGGGCTGGAAGGTGAGAGGCCAGACCATGGAATCGGTGAGTTGGTTGATGTCCGTGGGGCGACTCCAATGTGCCAGGTGCCATTCTGGGCACCGGGTTGGGGGGGGCGGGGGGTACAGCCACAAGAAACAGACACAGTCCTCCTTGCGAGGCCTTGGACGTCAACCTGGGGAGTTTGGCCATTACCCCATGGACGTGGGGAGCCCCGGGAGGGATTACTTCTAGGATGAGGTGGGGTCAAGTCTAGACTGGCCTGGAGGGAGAGAGAGACAGGAAGTTTGCAGACACGCATACCCTCCCCCAGTTGACCCTTCAGCCCCTCCTACTCCCGTCCAGCCACATCTGCAGTCATCCTCAGCCGAGGGGCCCGGGAGGGGTGGTTGCTGGGGAACACAGCCCACCAGGCTGTTTCTCACCCTCAGTGATGGGACCAGTGGAGGCGGCCCCTGAATACCGGGTCATTGTGGATGCCAACAACCTGACCGTGGAGATCGAGAATGAGCTGAGTGAGTAAGAGGGGCAAGCAGAGATGACCCTGCCTGGTGTCCCCAAGGGAGGGACAGGCAGCATCCCCAGCCACCTTTTCCCAGGGTCCTGCCCCCAGGTCCCTTCTATTAGCCCGAGTCCAGGTTCAGTTGCTCTGACAGAGGCTTAAATAACAAGGAAGTGTATTTTGCTCTCCTGTGAAAGTCCAGGTGAGCAGTCCAAGCTGGTGCCCTGATGTAGCAGCCTCTAGGGTCCATGCTGTTTGCATCGTGTTGATCTGCCGCCTGTTTCATGGTACAAGGTGACTGCCCACTTTCAGGCATCACCGCCACCTTCCCACCTGCAAAACGGGAGAAAAGAGGAGGGCACAATTCTCTTCTTTAAGGGGATGACCTGGAAATTGCACATGTCACTTGTAGACCAGAACTAACTCGTGGGCTCATCCAGCAGGAAGGGAGCCAGGAAATGCAGCCTTTGCGCTGGGTGTCCATGCGTCCAGCTAAGGCTCGGGTGTGGTTACTAAGGGAACAAGTGGAACTGGATGTGGGGGACAGCCAGCAGAGTCTGCCTGTCCCCTCATCAGACTCCTCCCCTCTTTGTCCACCTCAGACATCATCCATAAGTTCATCCGGGATAAGTACTCAAAGCGGTTCCCCGAACTGGAGTCACTGGTCCCCAACGCGCTGGATTACATCCGTACGGTCAAGGTGAGTGAGGGGAAGGGGGCACGGGAAGCACAGGCTCCCCAATCCCACCAGTGTGAAGGGGAGGCAGGGTCCTGCTCTCAACCCCCGGTCTAGGGCAGAGGCTCCCCTCGCTCAGCTTTTGCCCTGAGATGGATGGGACCAAGGAGCAGGTGAACAAACTAGATGAGAGATGGTGGAGGTCCCAGCTGCCTCCCTGGCCCTCTCGGGTGTGGAGGTACTACAGGGGGGTGACAGCTGGCCTAGCTGCTGCCAGCTGCCCAGCGTGGGCGGTATGGTGACTAGAAAGGATGTTTTCACAGCTCCTTCCCCAGCTAGAGGGGTGGAGCTTGCTGAGGCCCAGAAAGGAGGGAGCTGAGGGGTGCCCCACTGCTCCACCAGTACTTGTCCAGCTGTGGTCAGGATCTGAAGGCTGACAAAGGAGCAGCCAGGCAGAGATTCAGGGGAAGAAGTGTTAAGTGCCACGACCCTGAGACAGTAACAGGTGGGTTCAGGGAATGAGAAATTAGAATTGATGAGGCAAAGCTGAAGAGGTCAGATCACATCTGACCCTAAGCCTGGGAGGGTCAGGTGCAAGTGAAGGCAAGGAGACTCCCGCGTGCATCCAGGAGGTGAGAGCAGTGCCTGGGGACATCCATACACGGAGGAGATGGGGTTGGATTTACGCTCTGAGTCGACTGGGCAGCAGGCCTGTTGGGCAGTGGTAGTCCCTGGGTGGCCAGTTGCTCTGGTCTGTTTCCCGATCAGTCAGCACAGGGCAGACAGCGCTGCTGCTTTGAGCNGGCCCAGAGTGGGCGTACAAGGGGCTACCTGCGCTCCTGCTGCAGTCTCCGTGTTATCCTCTGTACCTGATGGAGCCTGTTCAGGACCCGCTCGTTCACCTGTGGGATGTGTGAGGGCACAAGTCAGCTGGACCCTGCTTGTCCCTGCAACAGACTGTGAGTGGAGCCTTTGCTGAGGACCAGGGAGCGGGACAACACACCATCTCATGACCCATAAGGGGCTATACCTCCTATCTGATTCCAGGGAGTGCACCCAGACCTCCCACTAAATGGTGACACCCCCCTGCATGCCTCCCAAGCCAGGACCCCGCCTACCATCCATTTCCCTCAGCTCCACTTTCCTCATGACACTCATTGCTTTATATCCCATCGCCATACTCGGTGTGCTGTCTCACCCACCAGAGGAACAGATGGAAAAAGAGAGGCCGGGGTGAGCTGAAGGATGGGGGGGGGGAGTGGGGGAAGCAAAAGCTATCTAGTAAAAGACCCACAGTATCTGGTCTAAATAGTATTGGATCTGATTTACCTCCATCCATACATATACACATACATACATATATAAACTAAGTTACAAATAGCACTGCTAAGGACATCCTGGTAACTGTCACTGTCTCCTATTCCGGGAGGACTGAGAATAAAGCTGCTGGCCACAGGCCATGTGGAGGTTCAGCTTTGGTGCAGGTTCAGGGACTATAACGCCTGGAGCCAACCCTGCTCCAAGCACCCCCACTGTGCCCACGGCCCTCAGCCTGGCCTTCAAGGCCATTTCCCCTCAGGCCTCCCCAACATCCCGTCCAACCAGACACCTCTCACACCCAGAGTCCTGCATGCACCGTCCCTCCACTCATCTTAAGATTCGTCTCAAACATCACTTCCTTAGTTCCCTAACTCCCCCGCTCCTCTCCGTCTCCTGGACTCCTGCCTGAACCACTACACCAGCCTCCTCCTTCCAGAATCCCCAAAACCACTGGTATGGGTTGAATAGTGTTCCCCCAAATAGGTGTGTTGGGTCCTGACCCCCAGGACCTCAGAATGTGACCTTATTTGGACATAGGGTCTTCACCGAGGGAATCAAGTTAAATTAGGTCATGAGGGTGGGCCCTAATCCAACATGACTGGTGTCCTTATAAAAGGGAAACTGGGACACAGACACGGACACCAAAGGTCGCCAGCAGACCACCAGAGGCTGGGAGAGAAGCATGTAGCAGATCCTTCCTCACCACCCTCAGGTGGACCAACGCTGCAGACACCCTGATCTCGGACTTTCAGTCGCCAGGACTGTGAGGCAGTACATTTGTTACTCAGTCACCCAGTTTGTGCTACTTGGTTACAGCAGCCCTAGCAAATGAATACAACCAAGTTCAGAGTTATTCAAATATCCAGACCTGATCCCCGTCCATGCCCTTTTTGAAACCTTTCATTAGCTCCCCCTCAGCACACAAATAAATCCAGATTTCATGTCCTGGTGTTCGTGGCCTTTCAAGATCTGGGCCCTGCCTACTGCTCCATCCTTATTCTCACCAAGGAGGCTAGTGCAGTGGTTCAGCAAAGAGAAACTGAGTCTGGGGCAGAGGCCCTGGCGATGGAGGAGAGAAGGATCCAGGGAGACTCAAGAGGCAGAATGGACAGGAGTGAGAAGTGACTTATGTCAGGGGTATGGGAGACCTGAAGAGCTTGAGCTTTGACCTGTAATCAGTGGGGAGTAGGAGAGGCACCTGTGAGGCATCAGCGAGCTGATCTGGGCTGTCAGGGAAGCTCCTAGAGAAGACAGCTCTCCAGGTGCCTTGCAGTGCCTGACGCCTAACAGGTGCGGAATAAATGATGAATGAATAAATGAAAGGTTCATTCAACTAAACAAGGAAGGCTGAGCACATGGGCATGCAGAGACTGGGAGGAGGTGGCAATTTAGGCCAGGGGGCCCCAAAACTGGGGGATCCGCACTCACCTACCTGCTCGATCTCCCGGCAGCGCCGACCTAGCGCCTGGTACTTCCTGCGATTTAGCTCCCGCTGGCGCCGCCGCCGGCCCCGGGCTGCCTCTTCCTCTTCATCTCGCTCCCGGAGCCCCGAGCCGCTTAGACCCCCGGACACGAACTCCACTTCTGTCTCAAGCTCGCTCTCCAGGATGTGACCACCAAATAGCGGAGGCAGCGCCAGCTCCGAACCTGGCGGCGCTGAGAACTCTTCAAAGCCCACGGCTGCCATGGTCCTGTAGGGTCAGGGAGCTCAGGGAACCTCACTCCCTCGGCCCCCAGTCCCTCCTCCCTCAGACCCGGGAGTCCATGCCTCCAGCCCCTCCTTTCCAGGTTGCCCAAGAGTTTGAGCCCCCACGCCCTCCTCCCAGGATGGGGAACTTCAGACCCCCAGACTCTCCTCCCCGAGGATCCAGGGAAGTTCAAGGTCCCAACTCCTCACTGAGACCCAGGAGTCCAGGCCTCCAACCCCTAGATCCCTAGCCTCCTCCCCCAGGATGCTCGAGTACGGACCCCAGTCCCTAAAAGTGTTCAAAGCCAAAACAGTTGCATGAGCTATAATTCCCGTCAGCCCTCAGGGTAAAGTGCGGATAGTTGCATATTATGCAGCCGCAATGTCTTTGGAGACTGGTAGTTTTCCCCAAAGCCGCTTACCCCTCTCTCTGCTCCAGTTCCATGTCTCCCCCGCTACCGGCGTCCCAGGCCTCAGAGCTTTCAACCTCGCAAACCTCTGGGCTAAGTCCTTCGCAAAACTACCCGTCCCATCAGGCTTCACGGCCAAGCATCCGGGACTCCGCCGTTACGCCTCCGGGAGTTGTAGTTCCTTATTTCCGGCTTCGCTCCCTGCACCCTCCGCCCCAAGTCTCAGCTGAAAGGCCTTGCTTTCTCGTCTAACGTCGCCACCAGTCGTCTGAGTTGGCCCCGTCTTTATTCTTGTCTCGACACTCTGTCGTCTAACTACGGCGATTCTCCGTTT